TTTTTTTTTTTTTTTTTTTTTTTTTTTTTTTTTTTTTTTTTTTTTTTTTTTTTTTTTTTTTTTTTTTTTTTTTTTTTTTTGTAGATTTAACTTAAAATGTCCAACCTTATCTTATTTTTTAAAAATTCTTATAAAAGTTAAGAATATTTGTTGGGTAACTAAAGATAGTAATGTATCATAATATTTTAATATTTGAGTTTTATAATATTTTAATTATGAATTTAATATATCATATATAATATGGATAAATATGTTTTTTTAATAATTAAAAAATAACTTACAACTCAACCTAACCCATTTAGAAAGAATGTTCGGGCTTCTCTCTCACACACACTAAATTTCTTAGTCCGGCTAATCCCTAACTGTAATAGTCCAAGCTCACCACCGTCAGCCTCACAGTTTTAAAACGCGTTTAAATAATGTTGTGTTCCACTCTCCAATGGACATCAGATCTCACGCTAATCATCTTAAATATCTAAATTGACTACCACATTTCTTTTCGATATTTGAATTTTATTTGTTGGACTAAAAAAAACAAGATATAATACACGACATCAAATAAAAATAAAAAAGCTTTAAGTATTTGTGGGGTCATCCTTGGATGAAATCCAACCATACTCAATTGTCTATATCCATCCTTTCGAAAATTCAGTCGCATTCAATTTTTATTTCAAAAACAATTATATTATTATTTGAACCAAATTCAATTTGTTATATAATGTGCAAAACTTTGTCAAATATTAATAATTATAAAGAAATTGTTAGCTTAGCCCCCAACATGTGCTACCAAATACAATTTAAATAAATATTAAATTCTCTTATCCCAGCGATATATATATTACTCATAATTCTAATAATTTAATAAACAATACATAAATTATTATTTTAAAGATGGACAAAATAAAACATTATGTCTGACATCTCTATTTTAAAATAATATCTAAAGCAAAATTAATTTAAGTAAGTATTGCATCTTTTTTATACTTTTTTTTATACCTTAAAAAAATTAAATTAATAAAAATTCATATAAAATTACTTAGTCTATAAAATGTTTTTTAACTTCGATCTATTAAAAATGTGTTTAACAAATATTTTTTTTAACTTTTTATAATGTTTTTTAAAAAATACTTTTAAAATTTAAAAAGTTTCATTAATACAAATTTTTATAAAAAATTTTAAAATATTTTTTAGGTTAGTACAACTCACGAAAATTTAAAAATAACATTTACACAATTTATGTTTTAAAAATTATTAATTTTTTTTTTGCTAGGTTTATTGACGCATATAGATTATATTTAATCTGTTTTATGTTAATTTTTGAAAGTTTGATTTAATATTTTTTAAACTTGATACTCATACTGTAATATTGTCGTGTTCGTCTAACAAGTACCACTCACGAAAATTTTAAAAATAACATTAACACAATTTATATTTTAAAAATTATTAAAAAAAAATTGTTATGTTTATTGACGCACTCATAGATTATATCTAATATGTTTTATGTTAATTTTTTATTAAATTATTAAAAAAAATTTGCTACAAGTAACCCTTATATTTTTTATATTAATTATTTTCATCGAAAATGATAATATATTTTTTAACATTTTTTAAAATTTAAAAATATTTTAAGTTCAATTTAGCGTTTAGTTATATTAAAATCATTTTATTGATAAAATGGACACGTGGATAAGAAAAATATCGGATCTCACTGAAAATAAATGGATGCAGACTCTCCATCTGTCATGAAATTTAAGAATAAAGTCGAAGGGTTATTAATAAATAAAATCCGAAAACTCTGTCAGAGCAGTAAATGAAGCACAGCGCCATGGAAAGACTCCTCAAATTGCAATCAAACCCACAAAATTAAACAAACCATTTCAAATTTCTCCTAAAGATCAAATTTAATGCTAACCCAAAAGCGAGGGAGTTGGTAATCCATCGTTGAAGTCCTTTTCTCTCTCTCTCTTTAGCTCTGTTTCAGCTTCTCCATTATTTAAGAAGCAGACAAGTGAGCTAAGCGCAAGTTCAGTGGACAGTGTGAAAAGAACCAGGGCAGTAATGGGTTCCAGAGCACTGGTTTTCTTCCTCTTCTTTTCGTTTCTGGGTGCTTCTTTCAGGTATGCTTCTGCAGCGCATGATGAGCAAGACAATGGTCTGGTTATGAACTTTTACAAGGATTCATGTCCCCAAGCTGAGGATATCATCAAGGAACAAGTCCGGCTTCTCTACAAGCGCCACAAGAACACCGCCTTCTCTTGGCTCAGAAACATCTTCCACGACTGCGCTGTTCAAGTAATCTAAACTCTTCCCATCTCTTGTAATGAGCTTTTAAACTCTCTGATGGTTCTGTCTAATATAAAACTGCTGAGCTCAGTCCTGTGATGCATCTCTGCTGCTGGATTCCACCAGAAGGAGCCTGTCCGAGAAGGAGACAGACAGGAGCTTTGGACTTAGGAACTTTAGGTATATTGAGACCATTAAAGAGGCTTTGGAGAGGGAGTGCCCTGGAGTTGTGTCCTGTGCGGACATCCTTGTCTTGTCCGCTAGAGATGGCATTGTTTCTGTAAGTGCATGTCTTCCTTTTCCCATTTAGCTGAAATCACTGAAGATTGCTTAACTTGCCTTGCTTTTTTGCAGCTTGGAGGGCCTTATATCCCACTTAAGACAGGCAGGAGAGATGGAAGGAGAAGCAGAGCTGATATTTTGGAAGAGTATCTTCCAGATCATAATGAAAGCATGTCTGTTGTTCTTGAAAGATTTGCAGCCATGGGCATTGACACCCCTGGAGTGGTTGCTTTACTAGGTAAACCTTGCTTTACTAAACTTGTTGCTAGAACTGGTATGAATCACGGATCTACACAATAGTATGCACACTTTGAGCTACTTTCAGATTCCCCAAAAGGGTTCGGACCCATGAAGATTCACTCCCTTAATTAACCAACCAATGTGGGACTTCCTTCCAACAGTCCTCCTCTCGGACTCGAACAAAGTACACCATAGAGTCTCTCTGGAGGCCTATGGAGCATTCGAACAGCCTACCTTTAATCGAGGCTTGACTCTTTCTGAGTCCTCGAACATCCTACATCCTTTATTCGACATTTGAGTCATTTTTAACCACACTTTCGAGTGGCTTACAACTTTTTTGTTTGAGCATGGACTCTGATTCCATGATACTTTGAGCATAAGCCCTCTTTTGGTTTTTGGAAAGTCCTCGTACCAATTCAGATGTATTCCTTACTTATTAACTCGTGATCATTGCCTTAATTAGCTAACGTGAGACTCGCTCCCATACCAGAACTTACCAGATCTGAATCCATTGCATCGTGTAGGAGCTCATAGCGTTGGGAGAACACACTGTGTGAAGCTGGTGCACCGGCTGTACCCGCAGGTAGACCCTGCGCTGAACCCAGGGCATGTGGAGCACATGTTGTACAAGTGTCCTGATGAGATCCCAGACCCCAAGGCTGTGCAATACGTGAGGAACGACCGTGGCACACCCATGATTCTGGACAACAACTACTACAGAAATATTCTGGACAACAAAGGGTTGCTGATAGTGGACCACCAGCTAGCCACAGACAAGAGAACGAAGCCATATGTGAAGAAAATGGCCAAAAAGCAAGACTATTTCTTCAAGGAATTCTCAAGAGCCATTACCATCCTTTCTGAGAACAATCCTCTCACTGGCACAAAGGGTGAGATCAGGAAGCAGTGCAATGTTGCCAACAAGCTGCACTGAACCAAGCTCGGTCTCGATCCATGCCTCTCGCTCCGGGAGCGAGTTTTGGCTGAATAATTAAGATTGTGGTTTATCCATCTGCTGCTTCTGTTTGCTGTTTAGGATTATGCTAAGTTGTGCTTGTTGTAAGCTTTGTGTTGGAGAAGGGGAATGTATGAATGTATGGATGGAAGTTGTATGTATATATGTATGCATGGATGGATGGTGGAGAGATGGTGTATGGTGTATGATGATGCATTGACCATATTGATCCTGGTTATTCAGGATCCATGGCAATGTGCTTGAATTATCTTCTTGTAGTAATAAAACAAAGAGTGGTTACTTGGTCAATAGATGACCCCCTTTGACCCCACTTTGAAGGACAAACAATTCAATGTGGTCTAGGTTTGGTAATACTTCTTACTCAAAGACCATCCTGCTCTGTCAATCATATGGCTCCGATCGATAATCATATGGTTTGAGCGCATTAGCTATTGTTCATGATGCTCTTGTTCTTCTATGATTCATAGTACCTCTACATCTCATTTATCCTATCTTTTTTTTGCATTGTTTTTTTACGAACCTTTTTTTGAACTAACAATACATGTAACCCTTCTTCCCGCCGTTGTAGCAAATACATTCAAATCTCTTGTACATGAGAATGCTTGATCATTCTTCTAAGCTTTTTAAGGTGTTCAAGGTGGTGTAGTTCTTCGGTAACTATTTTCTTTGTCACCATTTTTGTATCCACTCTTAGACGTCTTATTGTTCCTCCGACTTTTACTTGTGTAGAGTGCTTCTTCTTTACCATTTAATGTGGCGTCTCCTAGCCACTTTTTGGCTGGCTAACAAATTTTTAAACTCTACAAGGGATGGTTGAGTGGGTCATCTTCTATAGCAATAATGAAACTTCTATATTCTGGTCGCAATCCATGGATAATGATCCTTTTCATTTGAGTTTCTCCAACAACAGACGTTGGATGTAATTCAATAATCTCCCAATAGATTGACTTGACCTTATGAAAGTATTGAACAATCGTCATGTCACATTGTGAGGTTGATAATAGCTCGTCCTCCAGAAGTTGTAGCCTTGTATCATTCTTCTTTAAAAATAACATCACTAACGTGTCCTATGTTTCTTTTGATGTCTTGTCATTCCGAATGTGTTTAGGGTTTAGGGTTCGAACATATATTTTTCGATTGTGGTCTTCAAGGTAAGCATTGATTTGTTTGCTTTAATTTTCAATTTGCGCAAGACACCATTGAAATCCTCCTCTAGCGGTGTAGTTTTACTCCCAAAGGTCTTGTCCTTGTAAATAGGACATCATGCATGTTGCCCGAATGTTGTAATTCTTCCTAATTGAGTTTCTTAATTCCTCCAACGATTTGGAAATCACCCACATGGTTGGCAATACCTTAGTAATACCAAAGAAGCTTGTTCGACACAAAACTTGCAAAGTCACGACTACTCACAACACAAAGAAAATCACTCGCTAATAATCTCAATAAATCGTTTATGGTGTAGAAGATCAGACATAGCTGCAACCACGTAGCATAGTAAGCATTTTGAGATATTAAATAACCTATGTCAACCTCAATCAGATACCAAATTGTTGAACACGATAGACTAACTCTCACTTCTTATTAAACCAATCAAAAGAGATTATAGTTTATTAGAAATAATTAAAATAATATCACGTAATTAATAACACAATCATTTATCATGACGTGGCCTTGAGTTGATTGGGCCGGCCCACTAATGACCCAAAACAACGCATACGATCTTTACCGAATTAGGTCAACACAGAAACCTAATCGGGGGGCGATTCTGCTGCCTCGCTATCTGTATAAAACCCGATGGCCACTTCGCCAATTTCATCATGCATCTTCTTCCGTCTTGGTTAGGGTTTCCTCGCTTCCTCGTAAACGAAGGTTCAGTTGGATTCACCTCACTGGCATCAATTTTTTTTTTTTAATTGATTAGTTCTCTAGGTGAATTAGCTGCTTCTTCTTCATTGTTTGTGATCTTTAGCGTTCGATGCTTCATCATCTGGCGAATGTGGATTCAATCTGTTCCCATTTGACTCGTTCCCTTGAAGCAAGATTGAGTGTGTTACATCCTGGTTTCTTAAATTCTCCTGTGGTGTTTACCATTACTACATGAGAACGCGGGAGTAACTAAATTTTTTTTATTATTATTCTCTTGTTCATGAGTTTATTTTAGTTTTTTTTTTTTCTCTCGATCCTTGTTGGAGCTTATTTTCTCTCGATAAATGATGATTCGGAGTGCTGTTTTAACGGTGATGAGTCTATCAGACCTGTTATGATTTGCGAATATGATCGCAATCCATAATGAACATCTAAGGGACTGAGTTACTTCGTTGTTCTCCGATTTGTTTTTTTAAATGCTACGAGAATTACCTATTGTGTTTACTTTTCTATTATCATAGTTCCTTTCTAGATTAACGCAGTACGTACTTTATTAAGAATCTTTGGCCTCACTTTTTTTAAAACTGGAAATCTATCTAGCTTTCTATTCGATGAAGCAGGATCCATTTGTGAGGCCTAAATCTATGTTCTCCTCGCTATCCAGAGTTTCACATTACATGATCCATTTGGACGTCGGAGAACTACATTTATTTTTTCGTTTCAATATTTTTTATACCTTATCATTAATTTAATCTTGTTACATTAACCTTTGAAATTCTTAGCTGTCAGTTCCTTCAGGTCACTTGTATAACTGGTTGCTTGGATTTCTTTCGCAGGATTGTAATTTGAGAAAGTGTAATATTTTCTTCTGCAGATTATTTAGGTTTCAACAACTTGTCAACGCGGACATCGTTTCTTAGCAAGGCCAATACCGTTTTTCTATATATTTTGTAATTTGTTTCTGTAAATATTTGATCCATTTAATTACATTCTCGGTGTTGTACCATTATTGATTGTATATCTTTTTTCACATTCTCGTTTTAATTTACCATCGTACTATGAATTCAAGTCTGGTGGTCTTTCCTTCTAATTCAGCCAAACAATTCATCCATATCGATACCGTTTTTTCAAAATCTTAGGCTTGCGAAACTTTTTTACGGTTGATAGGATTCTACAGTCAGATTTTGCAGGTGTTTCTGAAGTTCCTAGTTGCTTTTTGAATCTGTTATACTTGAATTCATCCATGGCTGGTTAACTTAGAAAAACGATTTGATCTCGTTAAGAACATTAGAACTCGGTTTATGCTATCTATATACCATATCGAGATTAACGTAACTCCGTTTCGGTGGTACTCCACCGTTACCGTCCTCAGAATCTTGCTCCGATCGGGCACGTTCGTTAACGTGTGTAGTATTCCTCTGCGACAATGCACCCCTGTCATCCTTTCAGAATCTTGTAAAGCAATCGTCACTCCACCGACGTCGATCTTTGGCGAGTTCTGATGACTGCATTGTTCCCGTAATTCCTATGGCTCCCGAGGAACCGTTCGTTCCTGTTTATACCCAACTTCCGTCCTTCCATTATTTATAGCGTTTTATCAGGTTTAATAAACCAATGAGTTTTTGTGAATTTGGGATTCTTTCTTTTCAGCTCCAATCGAATTCATGGTCGAGCATAACATTTACAGGCCAACGAACTCACTGCCCGTCCCAATAGGCTCCGAATATCTCATCAACAAAATTTCTATAATTAATTTCGGGTCTAAACCCGCTAAACTATAGTTCGGGTTGAATTTTAATGTTTTTAATAAGAATAAATTGTACGAATATATCTACCCTCTTCATTTAAATATTTTTAAAAATGAAAAGAATCGTACTAAATTTTTCTTAAATTTTTGGAGGATTTGATACTGGGCCTTGTCGGCCCAGTTAATTTTATTGGGCCTAATTAGAATAGCAATGAAATAGATTGGGCCTTGTGATTCCATTTCCAATGTAGCAATTTCCAACTCTTGTTCAATGATATGGGTGAAAAATGAAGCCTAGTGTCTTAATACCATAATAATAATAAATTATTTGGATATATATTCATATAATATCGTTAATTTAATTTTTTTTTTATTATGTTTGCAGAAATATAAAGAAATATCAAGATTCTAATATATATATATTGTATATATCTTTTTTTATAAATAGTAAAATTTCGTGGTATTTTTTTATATTTTATTGTTATTATTATTTTCTTTTTGACAAAAATTAAACCTAATTATAGGTGAGGTTTTGATATGGATCACGAGAATTTTATTAATTTACGTCATGTTATTAGTTACATGTTAATAAATGCATTTAGATGTAAAGTGAAAGGAATAATAATGATGCATTTTGTAAGTTCGCCAGCCTGTAAAAACAAACTAGGCAATATATTAGTTAGAGAAAATCAGGGATGCAGCCACGTGTGAGACCAAGAACCGTTGATATTAATCCGGGCCCCACGTTTAGAGGTTGTGGGCCATGGACCTTTCCTTCGTTACCTCAAATATTAAGCGGTCAAAGTCCAAGATACCCCTCTCCCTTCCATTTTTCACACTTCCAAAGATGCTTTCTTTCTACCCTTTTCATACTTATCTTCTCCTTTCTTCACTCAACTTTTCCACTCCTTCCTTTTTCCCTTTCTTCTCATTTTTTAAATATTTTATTTTTCGGGATCATTTTTCTATTATTATCAAAATTATCCCTATATTTCGTGTCACTCAAAAATTTGTATTAAGATACACAAATATAATTAAGAGAAAAAATAATAGTTGAAAATGGAGTGGGTAAGAGTAGATTATAATATATGGTTTAATTAATTTATTTAATTTATTTCTATAAGATGTTATATTATTAATAATAGTATTGGAAAGGAACAACGCCTTCATGCGAATTGGTATATAGATATCTAAATACTTCAATTAATAAGAATTTTGTAGAATAAATCTAACCCAGAAGTTAATTAATATATTAATTAATTATTTAATTACATAATTATACAAGATATAACACGTTGGAAACATTTAATTTAGCCTCCACGTCATTCCTTCTTATTCGGAATTAGCCTCCTTTTTGTGCTCATCCCTTATGCGTCGTCGTTTAATATTTTTTACAATTTATTCGTGGCAAATAAATATAACTATTTTCTTTTCTTTTCTTTTCTTTTCTTTAAAAACTTCCGATTTAAAAAATAGATTTAATATAAAAATTGAATAAAATTTCAAGGGTTTTTTTTTTAATATATAATTTTTAATTCTTGAAATTTTATAATTGGCCTAAACGATGACGTAGGTAGGTGACCTTCCCCAAGACAATTTCTAGGTATATTATTTGCCAAATAATTTTCTACCTCTGCCACGTGAGACCCCGTCGCGTCCACCGTGGCGCCTTCTCCG